TATATATATATGTGTGTGTGTGTATATATATATGTATATATATATGTATATATATATATGTATATATATATGTATATATATATGTATAAAAATCTCATCCAGATCAGATATGAGCAAAAAAACAAAAAAGATCCGGGTCACGTTTGCCTGCGGTATGAACCTAGTCAAGTCAAAAGAACGCACACTCACACGTACTTGTGCGCTTGCGTCCATCCGTGTTCAGGTCTCCAAATGTCAGGCCGCGGACGCCACTCACTTCAATTGGTGTCCGGATGGCGAGCACGTGGTCACGGCCACGTGCTCGCCGCGGCTGCGCGTGGGCAACGGCTTCCAGGTGCGCCACTACACGGGCGGCGTGGCGCACGCGTACGAGACCCCCGAAGGGGTGGAGCTGTGGGAAGTCCGCTGGCAGCCCTTCCCGGACGGAACCTTCCCAGAGCGACCGGTCCGCCAGCAGACGGCGAGCGCTCGGCCCGGCGCCCCGCAGGCCGCGCCCGCTCGGGCCTACAGACCGCCCGCGCTCAGGCACCTCCCGGCCGCCCCCACTTCCAAGCTGGTGAGTGCGCAAAAGTCACCGGGGTGTGAGAGTTAAGTGCGTGACAACTGGTCAGGTGACATCGCGCTGTCGCCATGCCAATTGGCTTTTTGATAACGGAAAGGAAAAAGATCGGCCTTTGTGCACAAACAAATGGCGTGTGTGTGTGTGTGTGTGTGTGTGTGTGTGTGTGTGTGTGTGTGTGTGTGTGCGCCAGCACGAGGAGGAGGCGCCTCATGATGAGGTTACTCTTTTACTGTTGGTAAATAGTCATCGCTCATGATCATGACACGCAAGGTGTTTGCAGTCCTTTTTTGGGGATATTCAGAACGTCCTCCAGTGTGATCCTTGCTTTTGCCCCCTCAGCAATTAGAAAACCTGATCTGAAAATCAGATCAACAGATTTTGGACGCTCACGTTCTCATCTCTCATCGCCTTTTTCGCAAAATCCTGGCGATGATACATTTGGCATGTTAATCCTAATCCAGTTACGATAATCTGTAATTATGTAAATGCAAGCATCCCATTTGTGTGTGTGTGTGCGTGTGTGTGCGTGTGTGTGTGTGTGTGTGTGTGTGTGTGTGTGCGCCAGCACGAGGAGGAGGCGCCTCAGAACGCACGTCCCGCCGACAAGAATTTGTCCAAAGCGGCGCTGAAGAATCAGAAGAAACGAGAAGCTCGAAAAGCCGCCAAGCAGGTCATGTCAAATGAAAGCTTTTACTGGATGCTCTTGGTGTTACCACGGCAACAAGTTCGCCATATTGTTGTTGTTTTCCTTCCGGATGCTGACCCTAGCACACAACAGTTCGGTTTGTGCGATTGCCAAAACTTTGCATGTTATGATCGCATCAAGGGGCGGAAGCAACGCGTTTGATGCTTGACTTTTGCATCAAATGCATCACAGCAATATTTACCGTCGCCACGAGTTGTGCTTTTGATTTCGAATGTCACCACGGCAACAAATGGAAGTTACTCTGGCAAGTTTTGTCCATGCAATGTTGCGGTTGGCGCAGCGCTGATTGGTCGTGCTTTGCGTCGCCCTTCCGCCGCAGGAGCGCAAGTCCGAGGAGGAACCGCCCTCCGAGGCCGAGCCGCCCTCCGACCCCGCCCGCGTCGCCCCCAGCCGATTGACGGAGACCTGCGGCGACCCTGAGACGGACAAGAAGATCAAGAACGTCAACAAGGTCAGCAGCAAGTCGCGTGACCTTTGTCCACACCGTGCCACGTGTTTCCAACCTACTCGTCTTCGTAGTGTGTGTTGAGCTTGTGTTGAACCGGGGCAAGTGGCCGTTTCCCCCCCACGTTTCTTTCGAACGTGTTTGTGTTGCAGAAGCTGAAAGCGATCGAAGAGCTGAAGGAGCAACAAGCGGGTGGAAAAGTTCTGCAGAAGAACCAGGTCAGCTCCCGTCACCTCACTCACTGGGTGTACGTCTGCACCGCGTTGCGAAGCGGGACTCGTATGCGAAGGAGTCAAAGTCCCCCTTGGAAGCGGGGAGAAAGTTAAGACGCTCGCCTCACGCGAACGTCAATGTTTTCTTTGTTCCTTCTTAATGGCCTGTTAGTTTGCGGCAGCGCAGGAAGTGATGTCAGCAAGGGGAGGCCCGCGCCGCGCCGCATTGACTTGCTTGCTGCTCTTGTTACAGCTGGAGAAGATGCAGAAGGAGCAGCAGCTGCTGGACGAGCTCAAACTCTTGCAAGTGCAGCAGTGACACGCGCCCGCCGGCGAGCGGTGCCGCCCAAGAAAACCGACGCGCGAAGTGTCGCCGTGACGAAAGAAACGCCAGGGGGCGACGAAGCCACAACGCGCCCCGGATTGCGCAACAATAAAAGGCCCCTTTTCCATACCGGCTCCTTCATATTTCCAATTGAACCCTCAAGCCCGTTTTACCGCAAGTGTTTGAAAATATAAGTAGCCTAGGAAAAAGAAAGATTGAGGAGTGATCGCGTGCAAATATTGGACGCCCGCGTCATTCCTTTCACAAATGTTAGTAGCAGTGCGAACCGTCTCCATCTCCAAGCAATCAAAACGGGCAATGGAGTCAGTCACGAAGCGGAGGCAGGAGGGTTGATTCGATCCGATCACTAAAGTATCAAGGAGTCTTCCTATGAACACAAGTTACACGGAGAATCGGAAGCCGCTAACCACGGGGCCACGGGGCCCTCGGCAAGGCAGCTTTATTTCTCAAGCACATTTCATAACAACTTAACGTGCTTCACAGAAGCCAAGACGCAACACCGAAAAGCATTTCCAAACACGGCAGCTAGCTCACCGCATTCACAGGCAAAGCGGGAAAAAAATTACTCAAACGTATATTGAAACAATTTCAACACATTAACGGAAACGTTTAAAAACATTTCAAAGGAAAGAAGTAAAAGTAGGTTTCTAAAATATGTAAGGGAGTTTTAAATTGTTGAGAGGTCATTTGATATGGGAAAAAAAGCAAAGTTTTAAACTCGTCGCGTTCCAAGGTGGCATTGATCAAGTTTGAACGTTTTATTGCGCCTCTTATGTGTAAACGCCCCCCAAAAAGGAGACGACGCTCTCTGACGTCATTTGCACGCGACGACCCGGAAAAAGCGCTCCTGCCTCCAGAGGCAAAATGGAGCCGAGGCGCGGTGAGCAAAGTGAGGGAAGTGATGTCGACCGGGAAGCTGAGCGGAGCGGAGCATTTTGACGAGCTAAAGAACCGCGTCCAACAAGTCCCTTCACGACGCACGTAGGTAGGAACGCCGTCTCTGACGTCGTGGGAGTATCGGAGGCCATTTCTCCTCCCAAAAGATATTTGCGGCTATTTTAGCATGCTAACATGTTGAGTCACGACTCTGCGCTGCCTTTTTGTTGATGTTTATTTGCCGAAAAATGTTTCGGTGCTTCTTCGTCTCGTTGTCATTTTCGTCCGCAAGAGAGGCCGCTCTTTGTTTTTGATTTGCTTGACCTAAATGTGACGTCATCGACGTTTCTGCTGCTCCCACAACACGTGACAGACAATCAGGATGAGGACAACAAATGTCTGGCGAACATCTCAACTCGGGACACAATATGAAGCTTCTGTCCTCTGTCGTTAGAAGCTGACGCGACCATGCTTGAAGCTTTCCATCCAAAAATGGTTCAGCTCGTGAGGCTTCACTTTCACCTGACTGAAAGGAGATTGTCATTTTGTGTGTGTGTGTGTGTGTGTGTGTGTGTGTGTGTGGGCGGCATGAACTTTTGTCTTATTAGTACACTCAAAATTTCTCCAACGTTGGCTTCTGTGAGGTCTTGCCGCACTTCTAAATCGAAGTCAAAAGAAAAAAATACTCTGAAAATGAGGTCTAACCCCCAAAGACGCATGGAGACCAAACAAAAAAAAGTGTGAATCTCGTAAGTCCTGAAATATGTTCGGGGTTTCCCAATTTGATATTCATATCGGACTTAGTCCCAAATCTCCCATTTGAGCACGATTTTGCACTCCAAAGAGTGCCATTCGTTTTTATTGACTTCATTCGGGTTAATCTTCGCGGTACTTGGTCCTTATTTTATTCAAGTGCAGTACATTCTCATGCCCAGCTCGAGGCAAAAAGGGTGGAAAGCGAAGGGAGGTGTGGTCAACGTGTGTACTCGCACGGCGAAATTGGAAAGACGTTGAATCCAATATCCCGCCGTATCGCCAAGCTCCGACCTCACCGATGTGCCCGCCGTTACCAATAGCGTTTGTGTTTGTGCGTTCAGGCGGTCATGGCGCAGCCACGCGGCGCCTGCACGTGGAAGCCGCACATCTGCGAGCAACTGAAGCTCCGCGACCGTCTGCAGCGCCACGGCTTCGAGGAGATCGTCCATCAGTGTGAGTGACGCCGTCGTGGCTAAGCCGCATTCCGGCGCCTTTGATGGCTGAACGCGGTCGAGTCGGTGGAGTGAACTTGACGTTGCGGCAGCCGCCCCGTGAGAGGTGAACACGCGCTCTTTAGCGAGACCCCGCAAACTCCTTTGTTCTGTACGTTTGAACTCGGGCCCGACCGATGACTCGGTCCTCCGTTCCCCCTTTTCAAAAACATCCAAATGGGCCCAAGTTCAATGCAGAGACATTTGTCTTGACTTCCCGTGCAACGGAACGAGCCGCGGCCGAGCATCGAAGATCCTCCTATGAAACCGCGTTTCCAAGACTCGACAAAACACCTCGGTCGCGAACGGAGCCGATGACACGCTCTCAAACGGGGTCGCAAAAAGACACTTGCACGCCCGTTTCAGACAATCGCCTGCTGGAGAAATCGGACCTGCAGGCCGTCCTGTCGGAGCGCTACCAGGCGGACAAGTACGAAGTCGCACGGGGACACGAAGCCACGTGAGCGCCGCGGGCGGCCACCGCTCGTCTCGCCATCGCCGCGCGTCTTCGCGCGGCTGACTCGGTGTCTGGCTCGCAGGGCGGCGGGCGGCGACGCGCCGGCGCTGCAGCAGGAGATGGCCGACATGAGGATCCGCCATCAGGAGGAGCTGACGGAGCTGCACAAGAAACGAGGAGAGGTGCGTGCGAAAGTCGCACCGCTTTTCCTCAACGGGGGCGCGAGAGCGGCACGGTTGCGCGACCAACGCCTTCCCTTCCTCATACGAAATTTGGAATTTCTCCTCCCTCAGCTGGCCCAGACCGTCATCGAGCTCAACAACTTGATCCAGCAGAAGGACAAGGAGATCCAGAGCAACGAGGCCAAGTGGGTAGCCGCGCGAGTCGTCGGCACCTCGGCCGGCCGGGCCCTTGGCCCCTGCTGACCGCCGGTCCGCTCTTTCAGGATGCAGGAGTACCAGCAGCAGATGGCCAACCTGGAGGGGGACTGTCGAGATCTCAACAACTGCCTGCAGGTAGGAGGAGCCGCCGGACATTCGCGCCTCGGATCAAATGCTACCGAACCGAGCGCGGCCCGTCCAGGCGGCCCGTCCAGGCGTACTCGAGGCCCATCTTTGAACCGCGGCCGAGAGCGTTTCCGTCCGTCAGTCTTGCGGCGGGCCGGCGTGTTGAGGTTGTGAGCGCGTGTCGCCCGCCCAGGACCTGGAGCGAGCCAACCAGACTCTGAAGGACGAGTACGACGCCCTGCAGATCACCTTCAGCGCTCTGGAGGAGAAACTGAGAAAGACCACGGAGGACAACCAGGAGCTGGTCTCGCGCTGGATGGCCGAGAAGGCTCAGGAAGCCAACCGGCTCAACGCGGAGAACGAGAAGGACAGCAGGTAGGTTGAGGAGCCCGAGCGGCGCCGCGCCCGTGTGACGCGCTCCCCTTGCCCCCCTCCCAGACGCAGGCAGGCTAAACTGCAGAAGGAGCTGGCCGACGCCGCCAAGGAGCCGCTTCCCGTCGACCCGTTGGTGAACTTGTGGCTAGTCGAGCGGGTGGACGCGGCGCCCGCGCTGACTTGTTCTTCCCCTCAGGGACGACGACATTGAAGTTCTGCCGGAGGACTCCGGGAAGTCGGGCGGAGAGCAGCCGCACGGCCGAGCGCTCGGCAGAACGCCCAGGTGACCTCTGATCGCTCATCCCCCCCCCCCCCCACCCGCC